CTCTATATATATATATATATATATATATATACACAGAGAGAGATGATCAAACAAGAACATTATTGTCAAAATAATAAAACAAAAAAGGCCAAATCACATGTGATTTTGCACTGTAATCACATGTGATTATGGAACATAATCAAAGCCATGGTAGGCGGGCTACTTTGCTCGTGACCTCGGTCAAAATCGCGTGAATGACATATGATTTTATAAGTGGTTTTAGTGTAAAATCACATGTGATTTGTCTTTTCTCGTGTTCTCTTATTTGGTTATTATTCGAACATTATTCTATATGTGTGTATATATATAAGCATTCATGAGAGAGAAAAGAAACACGAACGTAAATAATTTCTAACCTAAGTAGATATAGCGGTGAGAATCGTTCTTTATTGGATAAATTAACACGTAAATTAACTTTGTTTCAAACGAACTAAGAAAGACGGACATACGAGAGGTCTCTTGTCTGTAGAATTGGTGGATCAGATTTATCCTCTTATTATTTGATTAATTTAAAAAAAGTTCTATTTACAGATAATCTATTTGTAACGAAATAAAATTACACGATGTGTTTTACATGAGTTGTAAAATAAGACTCACAGCAGAACACATCCCTTCGGATTTACCAGATTATAAGGTCTATAAACGAAATATCAAGGTGCTCAGATATGCAAGAAAAAATAAAAAGCAAAATTCCTTGATGATCGAGCTTTCTAGAGTTGTTTTCTATTTTGACAACTATAACACGTTCTTCTGAGACCTTCATACTATATGATGGATGTTACGTGTAAAACTAGACGGATTTCAATTGCCGCAACATTTAGTTTGTACAACATGCATCTATTGTTGTACTCTTACAAAAACGACAACCATTTCCTCGCAAGAAGAAAATGTGTTTGCTCGAATACAGTTCGTTGAGAAAATCGAATATCGTACTTCTTAGGTGCGTTGGATTCTTTTTTAAACATTGCAATAACAAAAGATTCGGTGACTCAATTGGATAATAAAACTTGGCAAAAATGTAGGAATATAAAATCACGGCATCCACTTTTCATGATATGATTTTTATATTCAAGTTCTAACAAATTATATCTGCTTTTTGTTGGTCAGTTAGCAACATTTCAATTATATCGCACTTCCATCAAACTTTTACAAATCAGTAGTAGACATGGCTTGAATTCTGGTCACAGTATCACATGCCTCGACTTACAAAAGGCTTCTATTTATTTCTTGCGGTTTTACACATTTTATCAGTTTTAACATTTCAAAAAACTGTTATACTCATTAGATTTGAATCTGTGGCCTCATGGCCATAAAAGGATTTTTATTCCTCATTGGATTTGAACCTGTGATTTCCAGACACTTTTGACCTTTGAAATCCAAGCTCAAACCAATCAAATACGACGTATCTGATGGTTTTTACTTATTCTTTTAACACCAAAATAATGATATATGACAAAATCCAAGAAAAAAGATGATAAAAGACTTAGAATTTCATCATATTTTAAAGAATTTCTTTTTGGGTGTAAAATATGAAGGTTTAAGAGAGTGGTAGTTGGGGAGGACAGTTTGCATGGAGGGAAGATACACTTGGATAACAGTAAACAATTTTGCTCCTCTCCAACTAACATATTCTTTAGAATAATTGCAATTTGTGTGATTCCAACTAAATCCATCATTATTTACAACTATGCCATTATTATTTTATTTAATACTTTTCAAAAACACAGGTATCCGCAAAGTCGTAAGACCATGTATGGGGGCTGGCGCCTGCCCAGTGCCGGAAGGTTAAGGAAGTTGGTGACCTGCTGTAGCAAGAGCGCGAAAAAATGAGTGTTTCTTATCATAACCTTTTTTCGTAACAGAGTTAATAAACTTATGATCGACTTAATCAATTAAATGAGCAATGACTTATTCATTCAATCATTAACCAGTGTTAATTTTTTTTTTTTTGCTTAATCATTAAGTAACGATGAAAAATAGTTGAATTGGATAGTTTTTGTGTATATGATGTCCGGCTGTCCGCATTAAGACATTTTACTGTAGACATGTCTTAATAGGAAAAATATAATTTCTTATTCGATTTGTCATATTATGTTGTTTTGTGACTTCGTATAACGAAGACGTGATTTTATGCGCAAATTATAGTGTTTGTGTTTTCCCTATGTGAAGACATGACTTATTTAATTTTTATCACTTTATTATATTCATTAGATTCTTATTCTTTTTTGATAGTTTCTATAGAAAAATCGAACATAGTGCACTACCCGTAAATTACGGACCTACTTCTCGCCCCCTATCGGTACTTTGCATCACCGAGACCGCCACTGCTACCCAGTTGTTTTTCTCCATCCTTTCGATTCAAAACCAATGCATAATGGTTAATCAATATTGTTGTTGCCATGCAAGTATAATAACCGTTTACTCGTTAAGCCTGTGATAAACGACTCCAAAACCATTAGTTTTTGGTTGGATCAAATTTCTATGGCTTAAACTCAATACGACATACATTCTCGATAGATTATAAATATGATAAACTTTTAAATATGGATATTTTTATTTAACACATAATAATTATTTTAACTGTGACGTTTAATTCGACAGACTTAAGGTAAATTTCTCTGTCTGAATCTATCAAATGTACATAAATGATCATAACAGGGTTTTTTAAAAGAGATATTTTGCTAAAAAAACAGTGTCATTTAAAAGTAATACTTGTCATCTGTAAAAAAAATATCAAAACTTTTGACGTATGACATGTTATTTATTGTAACAAACTGTTATTAACTAAAGCCAGATTAATTGTATTAACTTTTTAAAAGACGACTATCTTTATAACAAAATGTGATTTTTTTTCCTACACTAATTTGGATTTTATGACTATAAAAATCAATGACATTATCAAAGAGCCTTTGGTGTAGCAGTATTGTAGTCTTTGGCCTCTTAGGAGATCAGAGGTTCAAAGCTCATTATAGACGATGAGGGTGTGTAAATTTATTTGTTGTATTTGCCGTATATAAATATTATCTATACTATATTATAAAGCATTTGATAAAAACTCTTAAAAACCATTTTTTATGCGTAATGTACTGTTTATTAATGCATATTACTTAAAATTCAAGATTCCAAGTAGATTGTGCGTAAGTACAACTTATTAAAGCTTCATAGCTGAATTCGTGTAACTAATTGCAGATAAACATAATCAAATACAGAATAAACATCTCATTTTAAATATAAAAAATTTAAAATATAATTAGGATAATCATTGAGTTCTAACA